GAGAGAGAGAGAGAGAGAGAGAGAGAGAGAGAGAGAGAGAGAGAGAGAAACCTTTACTACTTATGCAGTATTTTATTTTGTCTTGGAAAGGTTTTGGTTATACATATGAGACCCTGAGTAAATTGATGGTGCTAAGTAATATGGATAGTGTGGAGCTTCAGGAAAAATAATACTTTGGATATATTAAAATGAAGTAATCACACACAAAGTATAACGTAAAATTTATGTTCTGACAAGTGAATCAACTTTCAGTTTCATTTATCTAAAAACAAAAATAAATTTAAAAATGAGAATTGATCTAAGAAGTAAACAAAAGTAATCAAAATTTGGAGAACAATTCCAAAGAAACCTAAAGCGTCTGAGAAAGTTTAAAGCAGGCCAACTTCTTGCTGTCCTGTCCCACAGTCTACACAGAAGTGGGAAGAGCTTTAATAAGGACCAGAAAAAGCAGAGCACACATTTTTGTCAGATATTTTATCTTTTTTAGATAGATGTTCAAGACAATATTGAAAAGTTATTTGAAGGTGACCCCATATTTTTTATTTATTTTTTCTTCAATCGGATTTTATTGGTACATTTTACATATACATAACGTTCACATTCAAACTAGAAAATTTCTACCTGTATGTAATGTAACTTCATTCCTTTTTTCCCATTTCCCTATCCTCCCTTCAACCCCTGCTTACCTCCCCCTTTATAAACGTTTTGTTTTCATTTTTTTGTTTTTCAATTTTGTAAAAGTTTTTCCATCTTTATTTTCTACCACCCCTTTCTTTTTCCCCTCCCCATTTGAAAGTTTTCTTCCTATTTTGTAATACCAAATATACATTTTGGTCCTTATTTACACTTTCAGTTTTTTACACCGGAGAAACAATGTGGTATTTACATTTGTTTGCCAGATTTACTTCACTGTAACAGTATGGTCTCAAGATGTATCTATTTACCTAGAAATGAAAAGCTTATTCTTTTTATGACAGCATAGTACTCCATTGTATATGAACCACATATACAATTCTCTTTATTCATTCCTTGATTGATAGAAATTTGGCCTGTTTCCAAGATTTGACTATTATCAATTGTGTTGCTATAAACATGGGTGTATATATATCACTGTGGTATGATGCTTTTAATTCTTTTAAGAAGATAACCAGAAAGTGAAGAGCTGGATTAAACGGGACCTCTAGCCTGGTTTTCTGAGGAATTTTCACACTGATTTCCACCGTGGTAGTTCCAGTTTGCAGACCTACCAAACAGTATAGAAGGGTTCCTTGTTCACTCCCTGCCCCCCAAGCAGTTGTTATTGATTGGTTTTCTGATGACAGCCATTCTTTCTGGATTGAGATAAAATCTCAGTGTTGTGTTAATTTGCATCTCTCAAATGACCACTGATGTTGAACATTTTTTTTGTATATATTTATTTGCTGTTTTCATCTGAGAAATATATATTCATCCCAGATGCCCAGTTTTGAATTGTGCCTTTAAATTTGAAGGATTTTTTTTTTCTTTTTTAGTTTTGTATTCTTGATAGTAATACTTTGAGGTGCAGCAGGCAAACATTTTTTCTCACACTGTGGGTCATCTCTTTGCTGAGTTGGTGGTTTCTCTTGCTGAACAAATGCTTTTTAATAAGATGAGATCCCATTTGTTGATTTTTCATAATAGTTCTTATGTTTTCTTTGGAGTTTTATTCATAAAGTCTTTGCCTACACTGGTGTCTTCAAGACAACTTATTTATCTTCCAGGAGATTTAATGTTTCTGCTTCAATATTTAGATCTTTTATCCATTTTGATTTTAATTAGGGGCATGGTGCAAGATAGGTGTCTATTTTAATTTTTAACATGTGGAAAGACATTTTTTCTGTAGTATTTATTAAAGGCTTCCAGTGAATGTGGCTGGCACCTTTATCAAACATGAGGTGGCTAAATATGTCTGTTGTTGTTGTTTCTGCCCCTTCTAATCTGTTCCACTGATTCTCAGTTCTGTTTTGTTTTGTTTTGTTTTTTTTGCCAGTACCATGCTGTTTTTTTCACAGTAGCTTGGTAGTATATTTTCAAGTCTGGGATTGTGATGCTCCCCATTTTGTCTTTGTTGCCCAGTATTGCCTTTGCTAGTCTAGGTCTATTCTGGTTTTAAAAATTTTGGAAGTATTACCATTTTCATTATATTGTTTCTTCTCACACAAAAGCAAGGGCTATCTTTCCATTTTTTCAACTGTGAGAGGAAACTGTGTAGACTGACTTGCTTGGATCACAGAGCAATCTGGATTTATTTATTTTATTTTAATAGTACTGGTGATCAAACTCAGGACCTTGCACTTGCCAATCAGGCACTTACATTGCTAAGCTATATCCATTGACCCTCCCTCCATTTTTTGATATCCTTTTCAATCTCCTTTTTCAGACTACTGTAGTTTTCTTTTTTGCTGTTTTTTTTTTTTTTTTTGTTTGTTTGTTTTGCTTTTTTCCTTTATATTTATTTGGTACAGGGTCTTACTACACAGCTGAGACTCATAGTGATCCTCCTGTTTTCAGCCTCCTCAGTTCTAGGATTATAGGCATGTGCCACCATGCCTAGTGTCGAAGTGCACTTGGGGGTGTGGCCAAAGCAGCATGTGGTACCAGGGCTCAACCCTAGGTCCCTGTGCTTGCCTAAGCAGGTGCTTAATCCACTGAGCTATCTTGCTGGTCGTAGACTACTGTAGTTTTCAAGGTAGAGTCTTTTACTTCTTTTGTTAGATTGATTCCAAGGTTCTTTTTTTTTCTTTTTTTTTTGTATGTGATTGTGAAAGGCATTGTTTCCCTAATTTCTTTCTCAGTGAGTTTGTTATTTGTGTACAAGAAGGCTGTTAATTTTGGAGTGTTGACTTTGTATCTAGCTATGCTACTGAATTTGGCTTTAAATCTAGAAGTCTTAGTGAAGGTTTTTAGGTCTTATATGTACAGTATAGCTTAACTTCCTTTCCTATCATTGTTCTTTTTCTTTTACCTAATTGCTCTGGCTAATGTTTCAAGAACTATATTGAATAAGAGTAGTGATAGAAGACATCCTTACCTTAGTCCTGATTTTAGTGTGAAAGTGTTCAGGTTTTGTCCAGTTAGTATGATGTTGGCTGTTGGTTAGTCATGATGGCTTTTATCAGATTGAGATAAAGACCACCTATTCCAATTTCTGAAGGTTTATTTTAATCATGAGTGTTGGACTTTGTCAAAAGTTTTTCTGCATCTATTGATATGATCATATGTTTTTGTCCTTGATTCTATTAATATGGCATATTGCATTTATTAATTTACATATGTTCAACTATCCCTGCATTCCTGGGATGAATCCTACTTGGTCATGGTGTACAATTTTCTTGATTTACTGCATGTTGTTTTCCAGTATCTCATTGAGGATTTTTGCATTTATGCTTATTAGGGAGATTAGTTTGTATTTTTCTTTCTTAGTTCAGTATTTCTGTGATTTTGATATCAAGGTAATGCTTGCATCCAGGAATGGATTTGAGGTTATTATTTCCATTTCAATTTCATCAAAGAGTTTGAGAAGCTGTTGTATTTAATTTCTTGTGG